GTGAGAGAGAGAGTGCTAGAGTGATTTTGGAGCATCATTGGAGGCTTGGGTGGAAGATTCAAGCCTAGAAGAAGAAGAAGAAGATCTTGAGCTCAAATTTGTAATCCCTCTCTCTCTCTCTCTAGAAACTCACTCTTTTCTCTTTGGTGTTGTAGATCTCTAACCAATACTTTGTAATTACCTGTTTAGATTGAATGATTGTCATTGGTAGGGCTGTCAAAATGGTTTCGGGTTTTCGGTTTAACCCGAACCCAAACTGATAGCAAATGTCTTCGGTTTCATGTTTTCGGTTTCAACCCGAGAAAGGCACATGCCGGTTTTGGTTCACCTAAACCCGAAAACCAATAGGGAACCCAAAAACCGAAGCTCTCAATCTCAGCGTCTCAGTTCTCACTTCTCAGTTAAGCCTTACGGTGACGTTTTGAGTTTTGTTTGCAGGGGTCCTTCGCGGCTTCGCCCCATCGCCATTGTCTTCGAAAACCCTACACGCTACACTGCAGCGCAGTCAGAGCTTCGCCAAAACCTACCCTGCAACTCTTCGCCATCCCTTCGCCGGCAACTCATCCGTTTGTTCAAGATCGAAGCTTTCCTCGTCGGGCGTCGACGCTCACGCATCTGGGTATTGCAGCCCTTCTCCGATCTGGTTTTAGAGTTTTCCCTGGGTTCGTCGATTTCTCCCCTGGTTTCATCATATTGGGTTTTGATTTTTGCAGGTATCAAGCCCTTTGAGGATTCGAAAAAGGAGATGCCACCCCTTCGCAGTTCGCACTTCGCCGGACGTCCTTCTTCGATCTAGTGTTAGGGTTCCCCTGGTATCGTTGATTTCTCTCCTGGCTTCATCGACTTGAGATCATCTATGGCATCCCAGTAAGCTCCTCTATCTGACTATATGTTGCTCTTCTTCTTCACCACTTATTTGCTTTCTTCGCTTGTTGGTGCTCTTTACATCCTTCTGCTTCTTCTGGCAAGTAGTGGATTTGGGTTTTATTGTGCCTTTGCTTCTGGTGATTTTGGTCTACAAATGGTGCTTGTATAATTATTAATTAGTTTCAAAACCCAGATAGAAGAACAAGTACTCTGCCCTCCATTTCTTCGCTAAGCTTCTTTATTAGGTTATGATAATCGGTTTCTAGCACATACGGGCCTAGCTGCAGCTCCTTCAATTTCTGAATTGCAAATATTAAGGCCTTAGCTTCAGCTTCTTCAAGCTACCATATGCAATCCACCCTTTTGACTGCTGCATAAGCACTTGTTTCTTTGTTTTGTGGTTTTCTTTGTTTGGTTTATCTAATTGGGTAGTAGAAGAACTTGGGCAACACCATTTAATTTACTTAAGCAGCTGCTAGCTCGGTTAGGAGCCACTTAATTGCTTGTTGAGGTCCTTGCACTAGAAAGTCAGAGAACAAGGGCACAACCAGCAGCAGATGCCACAATCATAGGAAGAAGGAACAATGATGCCCATCTTTTCATTTTTGTAAACAGTTGAACCTTGTGAAAGCAAAGCTCTTCAGATTTGTTGTGCACCAAAGAGTCGTAGAGCATTTATTCAAAGATAGAATCTGGAAAAGTTCACAGAGATATCACTCAAACATACAACATATACGTTTGCCATAAATTATACAAAATGTTCTAGGAACCTGCCTTTGAAGTACCTGCAACACATAAATCCATGGAAAGGCCCCTTCATTCGCCAATCCCACTCAAGTGAACCAAACTAGCTAAATAATAATCAAATACTATCACATGCTTTGTCAATCAGCTGGCAACCTGCCATTGAGTAGGGCAACCCATCCAATTCTTTCCATCTCCTTTAATTCTTCCAATACCTTTAATCTCTGAAACCATGAGCTAGCTTCCTTTTTAGAATAGTTTCGTCAGCTTTCATGCTTGCGGCATCTAGTTGCAATTGTAAATGGTTTGCCTGTTTTCCGGGGAATCTTCTCATTACTTCCTTCCTACAACACTTCCTTTCTCTCCAGTTCATCCATTTTTTTCCCTTCAGTTCGAGTAGTTTTGTCTGTTTGAACTTTGAATTTGAAGTATGGTTTGATTTGGTTTCTCTAATTGTTAAATTGCTGTATTTCCTGCATCTTGTTCTTCTGCATCCTGTTATTCTGATCTTCTTCTTCACCACTTATTTCCTGTTTAGTGTTTACACTATTGCACTTTGGCTAATTACTTTATTATATTTGGCAGAGAGAGTGACGCACCATCGGCTTCTCGTCCTAAACGTAGAAGGCAATCTAAGAGTACCGACATTCCTCCTATACCTCCTTCACCATCATCTAATCCTACTCCTACTCCTACACAGTCTACAGGTACCACCAATGTACCTCCCGCTCAAACAACAAATGAGGGGACAACTTAAAAAAAAAAATCTGATGTTTGGCCACACTTCAAGTGTTTTAAGAAGGATGGAGTGGACAAAGCAAGATGCATTTATTGCAATGGTGTTCTTATTGCTCCCACTAGATATGGGACTTCTACTCTGTGGAATCATAAAGATAGTTGTTTGGAAAATATAGAAAAGGGTGAGCTGATAGTCGACCATCTATCATCTTCTGGAGGCCAGGTACACACTCTTAGCACTTGGAAATTCGACCAGATTGATGCTAGGAGAGCTTTAGCGGAGATTATTATGATAGATGAATTACCATTTAGGTATGTTGAACATGAAGGGTTCAAACGGTTTATGGCTCGTGTTTGTCCAATGTTTGTGTTACCTAGCTGTCAGACCGTTAGAGAGGATTGTATCAAGGTGTTCTTTGAAAATAGAGAGTTGCTGAAGGACTATTTCAAGACTAAGTGTTTAGGGATGGTATCGCTCACCACTGATACTTGGACTTCTTTGTCCAATCTCAATTATATGTGCATTACTACTCATTTCATTGGTAGAGATTGGAAATTGCATAAAAGAATTATTAACTTTGTCCAAGTTACAAAACATTCTGGAAGTGAAATTGGAAAACAGTTGGCTAGTTGTTTGGTGGAGTGGGGCATTAGGAAGGTTTTTTGTATAACAATGGACAATACTAGTGTCAATTATGTGGTTGCTATCCATATGAGGGAACATTTGAAAGAGTGGGGATCAGATATTTTGGATGGCAAGTATCTGCAAATGAGGTGTGTGGCTCACATTATGAATTTGGCTATGAAGGATAGGCTTAAAGAAACTGGTAAATCTTTGGAGAGAGTGAGAGAATATGTGAAGTGGGTTAAATCTACACAAACTAGGAGCAGAAAATTCAAAGATTGCATTGAGTTTGAAAAGATAGTGTCGAAGAAATTTATTTCGTTGGATGTAGCTACAAGGTGGAACTCAACGTATCTGATGTTGGAATCTGCAAAGCCATTTGAGAAAGCATTTCAGACATTAGCTAGAAATGATAAGAAATTCAAGAAACATCTCAATGAAAAAAAAAATGGAAAGGAAAGCCTTGGTATCACAACTTCTGATGATTGGCCTAGTTGGGACGGTTGATTGATTACCTGAAACTCTTCTATGATTTGACTGTTCGAGTTTCTGGGACTTCATATGTGACTTTACACCTCTTGTTTGATTAGATCTGGAAAATGTATACTATGATATCTGAGTGGGCTGATGGTATAGATTTTGAGGTGTCATGCATGGCTGAGAGAATCAAGTCCATACTTGCCAAGTATTGGTTTGAAGATGAGTTGGAGAATTCCAAGATGAATCGGTTGTGTTATATGGCAGTCATATTAGATCCTAGGCGGAAAGTTGAATATCTTGAACAAGCTTTGAAGAAGGTATATGGTGAGAGCAGGGGTAAAGCTTTGGTCGGAGAGGTGAAAGATGAAATGCGTCTTCTGTTTGACCATTACAAGCATAGGCTCGGACTTCATGGCAATTCTCCCATTCTGATTCAGGAAGATGAGCAAGAACCTAGTGGAAGTGGGGATGGGAATAAGAAAGGGAAGATTTGGGGTGATTTCAGGAAAATGAAAAGAGAGGCCATTCTGAATGGAACTAGAAAAAGTTCCAAATCTGAGTTTGATAGGTACCTTGAGGAGGAGGAGGAGGATGATGAAGTGGTTACACGAGCATTGGTGGGTTCAGAAGAGGATGAATACAAGTTTGACATCTTGGGATGGTGGTCGCGAAGTGGGATGAAATATCCTACTATTTCTGAGATGGCTAGGGATATTCTTGTTGTTCCTATTTCCACTGTTGCTTCTGAGTCGGCATGATGAGATATCGACTAGCGCGATATTCAATTCTCGTGGTCCCAAAATGAAGGTTCGAATTCAAGGATTTAAGGATCAACTGGGAGCATTCTTGATGGATAAAATGGAAAATGCATTAAGGATCCGGCCTACAACATTTCTTGGAGCCAAAACGTCCATCCTTGCTGCCCAAGTCGTCCAAATGTGAAAAGGACAAGGATAGAGATTGCTTAACCACTAAGGAGCTTCCTTAAGCATTAAAAACGTGTTTGGATATTACTTAGCTGCTAAGGAGCTTCCTTTGGTCATAAAAACGAGTTATAGTCCTTATTTAAGTAGTATTATGTTTCCTAGTTAGTTTGGGATTTGTTTTCCTATTCCTTTTAGGTTAGTTTTATGTTTTTGTGACCTCTATAAATAGAGGATGTAAGAGCTACGAATTTAGTACCCAACATTCAAGTTTCAGCAATCAAATACAAGTGTTTACAAGTTCAAGTGAACGTTTTGCTTATTCGCTCCTTTGAGGATTCGGGAGGTTTGAGTGGTCTCTTATCAACTAGAGAACGCGTCTAGTTGTGGCAAGCATCGACGATATCGGTTGGCCTCTTCCACGGATTCGAGATTGTTTGGAAGGTTTCATATACCTTCTGGCCCTTCTCACGAGTTCGGATTTGTTTGATCGATTCCGCAAGTATCTTTATTTTCGTGCTATTCAAAGAAAGGAGAAAACCCTAAAAAAAAGAGTTTGACGTTGTGCAATTCTGATTTTTGGTCCAAGTTTGGGTGGATTCTCGAATTAGGATCATATCACGGCATTCAGCATTCGAGTCTTAGATTCGTTTAGTACCTCCTTATCCCCTGAAGTTGTGGAGGCTTTGATTTGTTGTGAAGATTGGATAAGATCTTCAGACTCCGAGTTGGTGGCTGATGGAGAAGATGAGGGTGATGAAGTGGTATTTCAAAATGGTAAGGACTTAATCTTTCTCTTTATTCTTATATTTGTTATCTTGGTCAAGTCATATTATAACAAGTCGTTATTGTTTATGTTATCCAGTATATGCAGCTTTTCAAGCTCAGAGTGCAAGTGCACCTGCAGGACCTAGTGGAAGCTCTCGTGCAGGAGCTAGTGGAAGCTCTCCTACTACCCATGTTTTGATCCGAGTCCTACTATATCACAAGTGGAAGAAGACTATGTCAACGACAATTTTGATGAGAATGATGAGACTTATGTGGATGTAGAGCCTGATGAGGAGTGATAATGGTAGTAGTGTTTATCTTGTATGGTGGGTGAACTTTGATTTTACTTGGATGTTATCATTTGAGAATTGTAAAACTAATGTGTTTAATTACGAGTTGAAGATAATCTCATCTATGATTGTCGGTATTTTATGTTGAACAAAATTATTTATAATTTTGCGCCAAACACCAAACATGTTTTTTGCATATGATAGTTGATATACCTTCAATTTTGGACCTATGGTATTACTAAAACATTTAATTATATGAAAATCCACAATAAAATGGCCCAAAAGGTTGTATTACATAACATAGCAAAATAAGATATGATTAAGTTACGTATAAAATATTTTTAAGTATTTTACTTTGTCTCTAAACTAGTAATACTCGTTAATAGTTACTAGTATGTCTATAGTTATAGAATACATAAAATTAAATATATTAATAATCAAGTAATATTTTAATAATAAATTAATATATAAATATTAGTTTTATACGTCCACGCCCCATAAAATTAAACATAATAGTTAAATAAGAATGTAAAAATAATAAGAATAAAATTGTTTGTACAAGCAAAAGAATGTAAAATTCAAATCACAAAAGTATTTAAAAAAAACTCAAAACGGTTCGGTTTCGAGTTCACCCGAACCGAACCAAAACCGCAGCATATTTTTCGGGTTCCTATACCCGAAACCCACAAAGTATAGTTGCGGGTTCGGTTTTGGGTTGTGTGGCCTCGGTTTCAGGTTTTCGGTTTTTTGCAGGTTTCGAGTTCGGTTACTCGACCCGAACCGAACCGACAGGCCTAGTCATTGGGTAGTGATTAATTCAAGGATTGAGGGATTATTCATATCGATTGTGCATGCTCGTGCTTAGCAATCTAAGGGTTGTGCATGTTTTGTGCTTAGCATCCTTAGGTTTGTGCATTGCGGTGCTTTGCAACCTAAGAATTGGGCATAATTGTGCTTAGCACCCTTAGGTTTGTGCATGTTGGTGCTAGCAATCTAATTAGCCACTTTAACCTAGGTTAATTTAGGGCAACCCTCAATGTTGAATTAAGCAAATTGGTTAACCGTGATTAAGCCGTCCAACCTTGAGTTGAGTGAGGGAGTAAGTCAACTACCAATTGTCTAAACCGAGAGGGTCGAGTGACATAGTCTTTCATGCTTACCTAGGTTTAGCAATTGAGATTGTGGTCTCCGACCACATATGAATCCCTCTGCGGTACGCAGTTACCAGTTTGCATCTAGGTTGGCTGTGATTAAGCCGCTCAAACTCCGGTTTGAGGGAGAGACCTAGGAAACCACTAGAGCCTGAGTGAGAGGATCAATCCGTGACAAATCGATCACTAGCGAATCCATCACGTGACAAATGGATCGCTAGTTGCTCCTCCTAGCGGTTCCCCTAGACTTGGTGAGTGGATCGATCTCGTGACAAATCTATCTCTGGTGAATTGATGTCGTGACATATTGATCACTAGTTGCTCACCCCCGAGGTTCACAACCACCTACGCCTCACGACTTCCTTCAATCCAACAAGTCATGGTAGCTAGTTAGGGGGAAGCAATTCCTGGGTGAAGCTCCCTTAGTTAGACTTTTCCTTTATTTACTTTTCCTTGCTAGTTTAGTTTGTAGTTCCATTAGTTATAGACCAAAAAGTTGCTTGCTAGATAACCACCTAAGCGATTGAAGTAAGGGTACATGGACCGGCCCGGGTTGACAATTTAAATACTTGCTCTATACTGCACCCGGTTAGAGTTTAAAAAATTGGACACCAGTCGGGATTAATTTGTGGTGTAGTTTCATGTGAGTCAAAGCTTCCTATATATTTTTTATTTAAAAAGATTAAACAAATTTGTTTAGTGTAACTGATTATATTTCTTGCAAGGTTGTCAACCCGAGAGTCGACCCGGGTTAACCCGAACCCGATAACATAAACGGGTGCTACAGATCCAATTAAGAAATCGCCCGGTGGAGCAAACCCGGCTTTAACCTGTCAAAACCTCGCGAACCCGGGGGGTCTACCCGCGGGCCGTAGCACTGGTTCCCGGGTTTGTACAAGTAACAGTCAGACTCATTTAATCATTTATCAATTCTCAGTCCACAAGAAAGTGGAGGATACGAGGGGTCCCATCCCATCCGTGGCTTTGATTATTTCAATGATTATTTAATTTTGGCTTCATAATAAGACTAGAACATATCTCGTCTTGTTGACCATAAGAATTTTGTCGAGAAATATGGTATATATTAATGGATATAATAGATTATTTGAAATGCATGAAATGATTATTTTCTATCTTAGTTATGCACATAATATTTTTGAAAGTGATCCAACTATGCATAATGTCTTTAGACCTTCATGAAAAGAGAAAAAAAATATAATATAAATATTACATATAATTACTGAATGAAAAAATTATAATTAATTGTCATTCATTACTTAATTAAACCATATAGTTGAATATATAATTGTACATACATTATATAAAATATAAATAACTTGAGATAAAATATAAATATAGAAGCATCATCACCAAACATATTCCTAGAGTTCAATCAAAGAAATAAGAATAAATAAAATGTAGCCTAGTTGGTTATAATATTCTTTCTTCATGGAAGTGACCAAGGTTCGAAATCCAATAATAACATTTTTAATATATAAACATGAACTCGGTGCAATGACAAAAATGACCTTCCTAGAATCACTCTCAGACCACGAAATTTAAAATGGGAGAATTCCAAATGACCTTTCGAGAATCACTCTCATGCCACGAAATTTGAAATGGGAGAATTCCAACCCATGTTTTGCCTTTATGCATTTTGTAGATGCAGTGGTTTTCCAAATTCCAACTTCTCTTCTCTTTTTTTTTATCATAGTCAGATGAAATAATAGACATATATGATTACGATGGTTTAAAAATAACGTCAGTCGATACTAATCGAACTGGCGATGAAAGAGCCGTATATGTCACTAAATGGGCAGCTCTATTAGTTCATAAGAATAAAGAGACAAACAGCTTTGTCATGCTCTGAATGGAGTTCATCTAGATCCGTACGAATAGCACCACCCGCAAGGTTGCAAAAACAAAGAAAACTAAGGCCCAGACAGGCCCATAAGCCCTACTGTCTGGATAAGCATTGGTTCCCACGCGAAGCCCAAATCATGATGTCACGTGACCACGATTCCTGCAAAACAAAAAACAAACGGGACGAAGCCAACAAAGCCAACATCCAGTAAAGCCATTCAGGCCATAAATATGACCAAAGAACCCACAAATTCCGCCTAGGTATAGGACAAAGCAATCTGGCCTTCACATAACCGAGACGCAGGAAGGGAATAAGGGCAAACCCACGTGCCCTTCACCCGCCACTTCTGTGTGCACAATTCTCGACATCATTATCCACTCCGCCGCCTTGAAGAAGAGTCCTGATCCATCCACCGCCACACCGCCAGGGAAGTCTGACGAGAGAAGCACGGAAGGTCGGATCTGTCGTTCTTCCCAAACCGCCGCCACCTTCTTTCTTGTGCGCCTGCAAAACAGAGGTACACAAAGAAACAGAGCAGCAGCCAAAGAACCAAGAAAAATTAACACAGAGGACACAAATATGGCAGGGCCGGAGTAGAGCAACCAGTAGTATTTTGAACAAGATCAGTAAAAACATTAGCTAATTAACCATGAGATTGCAAAAGGGATAGATAAAACAGCAACAAGAGATTTGAAAACAAGAGTAAAGCACTACTTGACGAAAATTGAAGGAAATCAAACCATAAACAAACCATGAACAATCAGAAAAGAAAGAGGAAAAGAAAAAATCCCAACAATAGAACGTTGTGAGAAAGTTATAAACCTAGCAAAAGACATGTTTAGGGTTTGAGTGAAATCGCCGAGAATAACAGCCATGTGTGGGGAATTGGCGATTGAGCCTTTCCTCTGTGGGATTTCTCATATATATACAAGAATCAATTTTCACTGTACATCAATGGTAAGAATAACAAACTGATGAACCTACCATTTACATTATGCCAAGTGGCAAGGTAAGAGTGAAAGCTATCTGTTATTTACTCTATATGATACGGCAGCATTTAGCTTCAGTCAAGTTAAAGAAAGCTTGACTGAAGGCCTTCGTGGTCTGCTGCTGCTGTACCTGCAGAATGCAATGGTTGCATCATCACCTTCATATTCCATCACAAATCAATGCAGGCATTCCACGAATCTGCTTCACACCCTCCCTCAAGCTGGCAAGTACAAATCATGTACTGCCAACTTGGATAACAAATAATCAAATCGTTCTGCAGATAGCCCTTTAGTGAACAGATCAGCTAATTGTTCTTCTGTGCTAATGTGAGACAATTTCAGCAAGCCCGATTTTAATCTTTCACGAACAACATGGCAATCAACCTCAATATGCTTCGTTCGTTTGTGAAAGACGGGGTTTTCTGCTATGTGAATAGCAGATTGGTTGTCACAATAGATCTGTATAGGATGTGAGTGATTGATTCCATAGAATAGCAACAAAGCCTTAAGCCACTGTACCTCACATGAGATCTGTGCCAATGCTCTGCATTATGCCTCTGAAGAGGACCTGGAAACTGTGTTTTTCTTCTTACTCTTCCATGTAACTAATGAATCTCCTAAGAAAGTGCAGTATCCAGTCACTGACTTCCTAGTATCAGGGCATGTTTCCCAGTCTAAGTCACAAAACCCCTTTAAGGTGAGGTCTGGATTTGCAGAAAACCATAGACCTTGACTTGGATTGCCCTTTAAGTATCTCAAAATTCTCTGGAGTCCCTTTAAATGAGCTGTAGTAGGGTTTGCTTGGAACTGATACAACAGTTGGACTGGAAATGTTGTGTCTGGCCTAGTAGAAGTTAAGTACTGAAGTTGTCCAAGCCAGTGTCTGTAGTCACTCTCATTCTCAAGAGGGACACCATTTGTTGCAGAATACACAGTTTTCATGCTAAGTGGTGTCTTAGCAGGCTTGCTTTCCAGAAATTCTGCATTAGCTAACAGCTCTAAATAGAACTTTCTTTGATTCAGTGAGATTCCTTCCTTGTTTCTGGCAACTTCTAACCCCAGGAAGTACTTCATGTTGCCTAGGTCCTTGATCTTGAAACCTTGCTTCAGTTTGTGTTTCACAACCTCAATATCACCTAAGTTAGGTCCTCCCAAGAGTATGTCATCAACATA